TACCCCATAGTTAGGTTTTTGCACAATTTTTCCTTTCCTTTAAATACTGATGTATTGAACATTTTAGAGGATGTTGAATGAAAATTGAGTCTTTTTTTTTTCTCTGCATTTCGTTTCTTTCTTTTTAGTTCTTGTTTTTCATTTCCATTTCCATGACGATTCCAACGTGCGAATCGTTACAAATATGGGGATGTATTTGAAGTCTCAGAAAAAATTGCTTCAAAACCCATAGCGCCTAAAGATGCAGCGTCAATACAATCGGCTGAGAACAAGGAACTGGGTCACATTCCAAAAGGCGGTCCTGCTTCAATTATGCAGTCAGCTGCCGTTCTGAATCAGCGATTCGGTGGCGTTGGCCGTAATGACATGACAGATATAGCCAGAGATAAGGGTGTCACCGTTTCTCAAACGGAGATTGAGGGGACTCCAATTGTTACAGAGGCCGTTGGTGGAGAGGTAAAATTTGCTTATCACAGTCAATTTGCTTAAAGGTAAAATTTAATATGTATTGCTAGGAAACTGCACCAAAGTATGATAAGTTCTTTATCTCTAAAGATACAATTCATTATAGAGGTTTACTTTGTTTGTTGATATATAGTGTATCATATTTTCGCACCGTCAGGTTATAAAAGTTAATTATGTCAGTTTATATTATCATTAAACCACATATTGAAGGTAATTACCTACAATACTAACAGGTAATGATATGGTGGCTCAGGGTTTTATACAAGGAGATTACCAAATGTTACGTCGGGGAAGCAATTTTTAACATTGTCATTTTACTAGAATTTTTTCTTCATGTAAAGGGCTTATATATAACCTAAAATTTTTGTAATTTTTACTCATTTTGTACGGTATAATTTTTTTTTTTTGCAAAGGAGATTCAATTGAAACCACCTTTAAATTTAATTTCTTCAAGCTAGTTCTGGGCTGTTTATTACAAACATAAGGCGATAACCAGTGGCGAATCCAGCATTTCAAGGTAATGGGTGCTCACTATTGATTAGTGCTAGCAAATGATAGGGAGGATTCGGATTGATATGGACGGATTAAATACATTTTAGATAAGACGGATAAAATTTCCGAACCACTCATATTTAATACGGATAAAACATAAATTGAATGACGAAAAATATGAATATCCATATTTTCTTGAATATTATCATTATTGTGAGGATTCCAAACGAATAGATTGTCAAATTTGGTGGTGGTAAATTGAATATATTTTCTTTTTGTGCCACGATGAACTAAATGAATTGAAGAAAGAAAAAACGACAAAGTTAAGAACAAAAGGGAATTAAAGCCATGTAAAAAGGAGACGAAAAGACAAGAGGGGTTGCTCTGATGGTAAGCAACTTCCACTTCCAACCAAGAGGTTGTGAGTTCGAGTCTCCCCAAGAGCAAGGTGGGAAGTTCTTGGAGGGAAGGATGCCGGGTTTCTATTTGGAAACAGCCTCTCTACCCTAGGGTAGGGGTAAGGTCTGCGTACACACTACCCTCCCCAGACCCCACTAAGTGGGATTATACTGGGTTGTTGTTGTTGTTGTAAAAAGGAGACGAAAAAGAAAGTCAAAGAGTGCACTACGTAGAACGTTGGATCACGCAGAGCGCGTACTTAGATTTCATTAACCAGTAACACCCACCAATCTGTTTTAGTAATGGGTGGTCACCTAAATATATATTCATTTCATGCGAAATTGTCTATGTTCGATATCATGGGCAATGGGCACCACAATTCTCTATGTGGTCCGCCCATGGTGATAACCTACAAGAGAGCAGAGTAAATAATCTGGTATATTACTACACTAATGTTTAACTGATGTTCTAAACATTTTGTAGATTTACAATACATAAAACTTAACCCGATTTTAAAATGTTTGTTACTTAAGTAGTTTAAGAAGTTGAAAATTATGTAATTTTCCATCTTTGCTGTAGTTCGTACGTACCAAAGAATTTCTTCGATTACTCACTGTGAAATTTTAGGTTCTTGCACAATATACTCATCCATCAACAGGGGGAGGGGGTGGGGGTGGTGGGAGTACAGTGGAAGCTACACTATCACTTGATGCTGATGTCGTGACCATAGGCGAGGCGTTGGAGTTGGCGGCTCTTTCTGCAGGGGACAAACCAGTGGACGAGAGCGATGCGGCAGCGATACAGGCAGCGGAAGTGAGAGCCACAGGACTAGGCCATGTGGTGCCAGGAGGTGTAGGAGCAGAAGCTCAACGTGCAGCCGCTGTCAATATCCGAACCACGCGAGACGAGCAGAAGACCAAGCTCAGTGATGTTCTTACAGTAAGTCTCCCTCATCAATCATAATTTTTTTCTAAATTGAAGTTTTGTACAGAAAAATAGTTACTATGTTAATAATTAATGTCAGTGTAGAAATTTTTTGAGTTTCTCAATATGTAAAACTTTGAATAGTACTACAGGAGTATAACTTTTTATGAGACGTCTTTTTTGTGAGTTCAAGTTGTGTATAAACAACCTTTGAATTTTTTTTTGTGGTAAAAACAGATACTAGTACTTAATAATAAAATACTAAAATAATTACAATCCAACCATGTTTGTAGTGGCCAACATTGTTGGTTAAAGTAGCATTTTAATATTCCGGACCACAGATTTTCTACCAAATGTAATATTCTCCGATGTCTGTCTATATATCATTAGCAAATACCGGAGAAACTACTAAAATTCATGTCTTGTCAAAAAGTTTCTTCTTTGCTCCCCTCTTTGGCTAGAAGGTCTGCCGCCGGGTTTTGCTCCCCGAAGCTATGGCTGATGATTGGATTTCCCAGTCGAGCCATCAATGAACTGCATTCAAATATAATAGGACTAGAAGGCAAATGACCAGTGTGTAACATCTTAATACTTCCATTGAATCAATGTTAACGATAAGAGGAGTCAGTTTGTGTTCCAACATTTGAATTTTTTGGCATTAGATTAAATATACTAAAAAACTAATCATAGTCAGTATATGTAATTGACCTAAAACATAGAGTGTAACTTGATATTACATATTTTATACTACTCAGCGTATATGACTTAAGTGTTGATCTTTTCTTTTTATATGCCCCTAAGTTTCCTTTTTACTCCCTAGTCCCTCCCTTTTAGTTCCATAAACCTACTTTTTGCTTTTTGAGAATTTGACCAACATTTTGAATATCTAAATTTTAACTTTGAAATATTAAGTTAATATAATTCAATTTAGCTTTAAAGACTTTGTGGAAAATCGTTAGGTATGAACATGTTAGCTACTTGTGACTCAATTGGTGATATAGTATCTCTCCCCCCCAAAAAAGATGTTTTTCTGTACCACGCGTAAAGAAAATATTTTGGCGAATAAACAAGATATTTTTCAAATGTCGAAAATATTTTAAATGTCACTAAATAAATGTCGTCATATCCTTACTTTCTTCTAGTTAAAGCATAGAGTTTCACCTAAACTGAAACGGAGGGAGTACATTTTTCTTAATCTTTAGGATGCAACAAGCAAACTTGTGGACTACAAGCCAGTGACGAAGGAAGACGCGTTAGGCGTGGTGGGAGCTGAGATAAGGAATAAGCCTGATTTGGCTACACACCCTGGAGGCGTAGCTGCATCCATGGCCGCAGCTGCCAATCTGAACAAAGCCTGAAATGTGTCCTAAGCCCTTTAATTTAGTCTGGGTCTTTGTATAAAATTATGTGTTTTCCCAGATCGAATTCTCTTCCTTTGCTGTAAGTTTTGAGCTTTCGTGCATGTCATCAGTTTATACTCTAAATACACGTTAGTGTTATTAGTTCTTTAAATTATGCTTTATGTATAGATTTAGCTTAAAATAGTAACAATGCTAAAAAACTTATGTTATCATTGCATTTTTAATCATCGTTTATACTTTATACACATTGACAATGTTTAAAACATTCATGCCATAGTGCATTTTAATCATCTGTCAGTATATAACAGAATCATGTCACAGTTTATAACGTAAATTATACAGTAATAATTAATTTCACATATCATATGATCTATACGTAGTTGACATTTTTAGGTGATTTGACAACAAATAAAAATGTTGCATTGCTATATATATTAAACTAGTAAAGTTAGCCCGGGCAAATATTAAACTAGTAAGGTTAGCCCGGGCTTTGCCTGGGCCCAACCAAAGCTTGTTCCAACTACTGGTTTTTTGTCTCTTCTCAAAAGTAAAAAATACCATCTTACATAAACACATTTTATACCAAGGAATATGAATTGCATATCAAGTGAAGTTGCCCACATATAATTTTCTGGTAATGCCATCAGGCAAAACTGGAAAAAGGTAGACAGAGATATCTACTTGTGAAAAGGACTGAACTATTATTTCTCCTTTTTATGTTAGCATGAGGAGCAGAATAGTTTGTTGATCTTCCTGGGCTTCGCTGACATTAGGCAGTCCAACTGTCTATTGTGTGTAAATGAACCCTACAATTATTACCAGATATTAGGAAAATAAGGATTAGTCAACTAACTTCTATTGTTCCAACTATAGAATGATAAGAACAGAAGAATAATATGACTATCTGATGTAAATATCAGAGACAACTGTTTTGCAGGCTAAAACACAGTCACTTAACATTAAGTGCAAGTGAATCCAACACATAGGAAAGGTTGTTAATGAACAAGATGTCATAATATGCGGAAACCATATAACAACAGGACTTCAGTAAATAATAAAATAAACTATAATTTAGGAATCGAGTTGTGATGAAAACACTTGTAGATCATGAAGCACATTAGCTGCAAGTCTCATAATCAGCTCAACAGTATTTTGCACTATAGACATAGCTGAACACTAAAATAATCATATTGACAAAAGGTTATATAAAAGAGTTCTGCAGGGCTAGTATAATACCTCCAAATAGTTTTAGCAAATAACCTGTGTCAAGCGTCAAATAATTCCATGAATACCAAAGAGACTATACTGTAGTCCAATTGCACTGCAAGGATAAAAAATTTGTCAGAAAGCTCAAATATTATCGTTCGAGGCAACAAATACATATTCAAGATCAAGCTCAAAGGCCCTTAAATTTATTTACTATTGAAAAGAAGAATCAGAGGATTTATAGAGATTGTAACGCTCAAATATTCGAAATAAAATACTACGATTGTTGCGATATTTTTCAGTCTTGATTTTATTTTCTCGACGCAAATTTATTGTCTACAAATTCTGGCACGCCCAGTGGGACAATCTCTACCTCTCATCTCAGCTTTTCAATCACCAAAGTTCAAGAACATTGAAATGGCTTCGAAGAAAATCAACATCCACCAAGGCTGCTAACTCCAGGTTCTATGCTGATGTGGAAAGCATCCTCGAT